TTTCATTTATCCATTCTCTCGCTGATGACACTTGGGTGCTTTTGGGTTTCGACCCCACCAGTATTGTATACGCGAACACTTCACTCTGTGTATCCTGGTAGCCACGCCTAAGATTTTTCTCTAGAGAAAGGATTCTCAACTTTGGTTGCATTTTGAAATCACGTGGGAATGTGTACATAACACTGGTGCCAGGGTACGGTTTTCAGAAATTCTGGTTTAGTTAGTCCCGAAGTCTTGCTTCAGCATGATATTCTTTAAACTTTCCAAGGAGTGGATGGTATCTGAATATTCACCTCAGAGACTGGCTGTGCTCAAGGGTAGGGGTGTAGCTGGCCTAGAGCACACAGCTCTGGTTTGGTCCCCGGTACCAAAAGAAAAAAGCTAGTTGGTTAATACTTACCAGGGCTGTATAAAAGCTCCTGTTCCCCTCATCATTGTTGGTACTTCTCTCAATCTGGTGAGTTTATTCATCCTTAGTACCTACTATGAAATGCACGTTTTTAAAACTTGGAGTTAGTTGCCCCTTTCTTTTGATACTTAAGATTTTATATGTGTTCAGAAATCCATTCGTATAACTCATTATTATATATTGATTAATATATATACTATAGAAAGTATGTGAGGTGATGCATAAGTAGTAGCTTGATCTCCCACTTACGAGGCACACGTATATGAAAACACCGTGTTGTACATCATACCTACATACAACTTGTCAGTTAAAATTTTTTGAACTTTCAAATGTGCTAGAATTCATTACTCTTTTTGAGCTCCCAATATTTTCAGTTGGGCTGGTGGAAGCCTCTGTACGCTTCGGTAGTTGAAGGACAAATTTTGGTTTCGTCGTGAGGATTGTCTCTTCAGGGGTCTCTTTTCCCCGGTGGGTGGCAGTGACGGCTATGAAGCATGGAGTTCCCCAGAAAATACAGACATAAACACACGTGATGTGTCTGAGTTCTCCACTCTGTCCCTGTGGAGATCTGTTCAATCCCTGTATCCAACTTTATAATCTTACTCATTCTTTCTCTATAATAAGTCTTGACACATGTCGGGCAAGTTCCCCCTCACCCACCCATCTGATTTCCTCGCTTTCTAGGGCATCTGATCGCTTCCTAAATCTGTGTTCTTTCCTTTGTCGCTGGATTGAATTAGGAAATGTTTTCTAGTGAATCATTTGTTCCTCTTGCTGTTTCAAGGTCAATGTCTAGAGTCAAGGACACCGTGGTAGCAATGAACACATTAATACTCAGGTGCAGATATTTTAAATGCCATTATCTGCTCAAAGGAAATAAGACTCCTTGGAGAAATGGCTATTTCTAGATCGGGAGCAAGGAAAGTCCAAAGCAGTTGTAAAACTTGCCACATCTACAGAACAGGCTCAGGGTGCTGTTTTATGGGCCACCAGACACAGCAAAGACTTTGAACCCTTTACCTCTGATTAACTCCTTCAACTCAGCTGCTAATGTTACCTAATATTTTTAACTACCCACACTGGCCTACTATTGTTACTCTGAGAATATTTATACTTTAGATACGTAATAATTTCATTGCTGATTTTTTTCTACTCCGGACCTTCCTCCTGGAATTACATTCCTTCGTTGCAGAGCACAGCCCTTAGAATTCCTTCACAGCAGGTCTGTGAGTGGAAACGCCCCATCTCTTTTTCTTTTCTCCTCCTTTCTTTCTTTTCTTTTTTCTTTTCTCCTCGCTTCCCCTGCCTCCCCTCCCCTCTTCTCTCCACCCTTTCACGCTTTCTCCCTTTCTCCCCCACATCTTCTCTCCATTCTTTCATACTACAGATTGAATTCAGGACTCTCACACTAAGCTACATTCCCAGACATTTAAAAAATATTTTTTACTCTTTAAAACTTTTTGTTCACACACGTTTGTAGTACACAGTGTTTACATCCCTTGTGTGGAGTTGGTGCCTGTACATAACACATCTGAATTCCTTTCTTCACCCCCTTTCCCTCCCCCACCTCACCCCTCCATTTCTTTGGAGTCAGGGTCTCACTCAATGGCTAAGTTGGCCAGCCTGGGCTCAAAGTTGTGATCCTCCTGCCTCAGCCTCCTAGACAGCTAGGGTTACATGGTTACATGTGTGCCCCACTGTGATTGGCTCCCACTCCTCTTTTTAAATCTGAAAATGGGTCCCTTACCCTTGAAGGATAGTTTTCTTAGATATGATTCCAATAGTTTTAGAATTATTCTCAGTACTTGAAGGGGAAGTTTTCAGTACTTTCACTTAAAGAAAAATTTGTCTCCTTTTCTGGCATGCTGTTTTACTGGTGAGAAATCTGCTCTGTCTAACTGCTGACTCTCAGTAGCTGTCTCTCTGCCTCTCTGCTGTTTTAAGTTTCTCCATTTTGCATAGTACAGTTGTGTCCCTTTGTGTTTAGATGTGAACACTCCTGCTCCATAGTCTTCATATTTCCTTCTCCTGTGGATGTACATCCCTAATCACTCGTAGAGAACACTCTCTATGCTTTTATAAATGTTATCTTTTCCATTTTTCCTGTTCTGTACTTCTTAGGTTCTGTGTGGCATAGGTTAGTTTTTCTTCTTCTAATTCTTAATCGTATCTCCTAATCTTGCATTAATATGTCCTATTTATCTCTGTATTCTACATTCTGGGTGATTTCTGTAGGTTTTGTTACTTTCCTAATTCTTTCTTTGGCTTCACTGTACTGTTTACTTACTTTTTATTTTATTTTGATAGTTATGCTTTTTTTTTTTTTTTTTTTTTTGTCCTTTTTTTTTTTTTTTTTTTTTTTTGGTCCTCTTTTGTTTTGAGGCTGGGTCACATAGCATAGTTCAGATTGGCCTTGAAATTACTAAGTAACCCAGGCTGGCCTTAAACTAGTAGCAACCCTCCTGCCTCAGCCTTGCATGTGCTGGGGTTACAGATATGCACTATCACACCTGGCACAAAGAAGCTCAGATTTTTTAGTTTTTTGGGACAGTCTCACTGTGTAGCTGGGATTCCAGGCATATGCCACTATGCCAAGAGAAATTTCCAGTTTCTGAAATTTCAGAAGTCTGGATAAATTGTCCTTTTTCTGCTGATTCTCATTTGAGGGTGTTCATTCATCATGTGATCATGAGCTCCTATTCAGTGGGAAACTTTGGTGCCTAAATTGAAGATGCACTCTGCAGAGGTGAAGTGCTTGCTTCTCTAGATTCCAACAGTGCTGCTGATTTAGCCCCTTCCCTTAGTTCATTTTCCAGTCTGTTCATCTCAGGCCCCAGCCACCGGTCCAAGACCTACTGTGCTATTGTTTTGTGCAGGTGGGATTTGCCTTTGGGCTTTTACCATTCATTTTTGTTATATTCACTGTTTGTGCCAAGGTACCAACTACCTTCTCAAAGGGGTTAGGAGAGCTTAACGACTTTATTCTTGCTGTCGCAATACAATGATGAAAACTATATTTTATGCACAAACTAGTTGTCTTTGCAGCAGGAAGTCTCTTCGGATGATCTCTTTGTGCTTTCTTCATTTCTTTTTTTTCATTGTTTTGAAATCTCCCTTTCTTCATTCTGAAATACCACATTTTTCTGGGATATCCTACCACTTCTTGTCAGTCTTTCTCTCTATAACCTCCGCTTTTCCTTCCCTACTTTTGAAGATCCAGAATTTTCGGAGATCCGAGCCCTCTTTTCTTCTTGCAGTTGGTCACATCTGTTTTCATGACGTCATGTACAACATTCCCGTGGACCTTATTTCCACCTCTGGCAAGCCCCAAGTTACAACTCTGTATTTTAAATTATCTTCTTGCAACCTCCAACTGAATTTTCCTCAAAGCCGAAAACTTCGAAACTGAGCTTAACGTGTCTTACACCTCTACCCCCAAACCGCCCCCTCTTCCAATACTTCCCAGTAAGGTTGTGGACACCACTGTCCACCTCTCAGCAGGCCAAATGGTCCTGTCACTTTTTACCCCGAAGTACCCTTGAATCCTGTTCCCTCACCATCCCGTTTCTATCGTCACAGCTACAGTGGGATCCCCGCCATTCCTTCCTAGTTTCAACAGCATTCCTTCCTGTCTCCAGACTGATTGCTCTAATCCCCCTGCCCACTGCAGCCTTTCTGAATGTGACCTTTCTAAAATGCAAATCTGAATATGTCTCTTTCTGGGGGAAATTCTTAGGCTGCGTGCGTGAGCTTATGTAAAGCCTCGATGGTCTGATTTTTGCTTTTCCTCTGCCACCGACTTCATTTTAAACTGTGAGAGGGCCGTGAGCTTCTGTCTTCACCTTGGGGCTATTCTCAGCTTCGAGCTCACACTCGCCTCCGCCCCGCCCGTGCTCACGATTCTTGGGTCCTCTTTGACAGCCAATCTCAACTTACTCCCAGTAACACAAGGGCACCGCCTCTCATAACTCAGGTTGGTGCCCACTAGCACACAGTCCTCCACGTGTCATGAAATCTCACTTCCTAAGGGGAACTAGAACTCAACAGGCCTGCTGAATGAGTACCGAACCCAAACTTCCAAGTGCAGCCCAGGAGATAACGTGAAGGGAAGGGCTGGACCCACAAAGGAACTGCAGGCCAACAGCAGTTCTCCAGGCAGTATATAGGAAAGCGCAAGGCTAGTCAAGGAGCTAGATTTAATTCATCAAGATTTCATAGAGTGAATCGGCACAAAAACAAACCAAAGCAAAACAAAGGGCAAACACACCAACTTGTGATAAGGGACCGACCGAAGGGGTCATCAGGACCCACCAAGCCCACATCCGCTCAGCAGAGAGCGGTAACTCCCCAGGTCCCGCCTCCTTAACAGGAGCCCGGCCACGCCCGCTGTGGGCGGGGCGCGGGTGGGC